CTTTGAAGCCAGAGGACAAGACTCAAATCTTCTGCCACAGGATACAAATGCAGTTCCATGACTTTCCTGAGGGAAAAAAAGAAGGAATACTACAAAATCAGACTCTCAGAGTTTAACCAGTCTTACACAGATTATGATCACAGAGAGGAGAACATATCCTCAAGTCAGGACTTCTGGATCTAGCTTGAGTAAATAAACCTCAGGGAGTGAGTGGGTGAATGAGTCAAGTGAAAGATACCAAGAACAAAGGTGAAATTTTACTTTTCTGTGACTGCTGAGTATGCTCCCAGTTCAAAGGTGGGAGAGCTGTCCACCTTTAAGAATAGAATTTTTTAAAAAATCATCCTGAGGTGGAAGGTTTTATGTGTACTGGACTTGCAGAGCTGGCAAGTCATTACTAAAGAGTGACTAGTGCCAAAATGTGGGATGAGATCTTCATACAGCTGCTGATTAAGTGGATCTATTTCCCTAATCATCTGCCCAATATTCCAATTGAGCCTCCAGCCAAAATCCATGAGGCAAATTTCATTACGTTTGTGATGCCTAACCTGGAGTTGGCATCCTGTTGTAGTCATGATGGTAGGATGGATAGGAGGCTGAAAGATGGATTAATAACACTTAATTATGATGAAATATCAAAGTATGTTGGAAGGTCACCTTGTGTTGTATAATTATATATTCATAATAATTTAAATTCTTGCTTCAGCCCTTAGTGAATCTGAGACAGCAGCAACGATGGGAAAAACCTCCCTTAAAAATCCGAAGAATCATACTTGTTTTGGCATGACACTGCCTAGGGTGATTTGCTAACAAGGCGGACTTTGCCAAGCTTTCACATTAATGCAAGGTTCAGCATACATTTTAAAACATTAAATCAGCTTTACATTTGCATGGATATGATTATTTGAATGCGTAGATTGTATTAGTTTAAAGGGCTCCAATATTCTAATACTCGAGCCAAAATTAAATACTCAAAGTAAGTGTATGTTAATTTCAAGTAGTAGTTAAAAAAAAAGTCAAAAGTTGTCATATTGCTTGACTTTGGAAGATACAGAGTGTGTCTGCTGCCACAAACAAAACTAGGATTGTAGCTACTGAAAGTTTCGAGAATCAGAATCAGATCTTAGGACAGAAGTAGATGCTCATGTCTGAGTGAGTTCATCATCGTCATGGCTGGGCTTTGTGAACGAAGATTTGGGAAGGGCTCTACCCACGTTTGTTACAAGCGCGTTGGTGGTTAAAAAGGCCAATACGAGATAGACACGTCCAGTTGCAAAAGGCACAGCAGAAAGACTCCTTAGGTGGTAAATTCTGCAAGGCACGATTCTTTCTGCGTCGTCTTTTCTCCTCAAGAGTGATCCTGCGTGCTTTCTCAAAAGCATCAGCAGCGTTACAGATAGTGTGTCTCCAGACCTCCCAATTGGAGACCAGAGTAGACCAGTTATGTTGATCAGTATGGCCAAGGCTGAGATGTTGTTTCAGGGAGTCCTTTTATCTTCTCTTCGGGACTCCTCTCTTGTGGCAGCCAGTGGCAAGTTCACCATAAAGCAGGATCTTAGGGAGGTGGTGGTCCTTCATCCTTGAGACGTGTCCTGCCCAGCGCAACTGTGTTCTCAGCAACATGGCCTCAATACTTGTGATTGCTGCTTGTTCTAGAACAGATGTATTGGTCACATAATCTGACCAGTGGATGTTTAGGATTGTATGGAGACAGCACTGATGGAAGCGTTCTAGGAGACACAGGTGGTGGCGGTAGATGACCCATGATTCAGATCCATGTAAGAGAGTAGACAGCACTATGGCTCTGTAAACACTGATCTTTGTACTTTTCTTCAAGTGTTTATTTTGCCAAACTCTTTTATGAAGTTTTCCAAAGGCACTATATGCCTTTGCTAACCTGTTGCCTATCTCTCCGTCAGTCTTACCATCCGAGGAGATGAGGCTACCTAGGTGATTAAACTGCTGAACTGATTTGAACTCTGATTTGCCAATGGTGATATGGGGATGATGGAAGACTTCCTGAGGTGCCGGTTGATAGAGAACCTCTGTCTTCTTTAAGCTGACTTCCAGCCCAAAGAGCTCAGCAGCCTCTGCAAAGCAGGATGTTAAATGCTGCAGAGCTGCTTCTGTGTGGGCGACAAGGGCGGCGTCATCAGCATAAAGCAGCTCCCGGACAAGATGGTTTAAGGTCTTGGTGTGGGCCTTCAGTCGCCTTCGGTTGAATAGGCTTCCATCAGTACGATATCAAATGTAGATACTGTCCTGATCATCGAGGTCTGCAGTGGCCATTTGGAGCATCATGCTGAAAAAGACTGTGAATAGAGTTGGTGCAAGGACGCAACCTTGTTTCACACCATTCTTTATTAGAAAGGGCTCAGAAAGTGCATTGCCATATCTGACTTGGCCGTGTTGATCCTCATGGAGTGAGATGATCATTTTAAGGAACTTGGGGGGACAACCTAAATGTTCCAAAATCTGCCATAGACCTTTTCTGCTCACAGTATCGAAAGCCTTGGTGAGGTCGACAAAGGTTACGTAGAGACCTTTGTTCTGTTCCCTACACTTCTCTTGCAGTTGTCTGAGAACAAATACCATGTCTGTGGTACTCCTGTTGGCTCTGAAACCACATTGACTTTCAGGTAGAATTTCTTCTGCTATAGCAGGTATTAGTCTGGTCAAGAGTATTCTTGCCAGGATTTTGCCAGCAATGGAGAGTAGAGTAATACCTTGATAATTTGAGCAGTCTGATTTATCTCCTTTCTTCTCATACAAGGTGATGATGACTGCATCACAAAGGTCTGATGGTAGCTCGCCTAGTTCCCAACAGCGCACCACAAACTCGTGAAATTTAGCATGGAGTGCAAGGCCCCCATGTTTCCAAACTTCGGGTGGAATTCCATCAGCCCCAGCTGCTTTACCAATTTTCACCTGCTGAATGGCCTTGAGGGTTTCTCCTAAAGTGAGGGCGGTATCCATTTCATACTTCACCAGTTGTTGTGTGATGGACTGAATTGCTGAGTGACTTAAGCTTTGGGTTTTTGTAGAAGCCAGTATTTCTGTATACCTTAAGGCTTAAAAAAATACAGAAATCCCAAAATATGACTTGCAATGGTCTTGTCAAAGTGGCTTCAGTTAGGGAATATAATGTGTGTCTGGGAAGCAAAGCATCTGTTATTTATAGTTTATTCAGAATCAAAATAAATAAAGCCCTTTATGGAAAGTAATGGGCTACCACATTTTACCCCATTGGATCAAATCTCATGTCATGCGGTTTCAAATCAGACTTGATGAAATTGTTCTCTCAATGTCCCTGCACAAAGAGTTTGGAGTATAAGTTGATACAACGTGACCTGAATGGCAGCAAACATGAACGAGACAAAATGCATAATTAGTTCATCAAAGCTGGTCAGCATGTCTGCCAATTACTGCTTTTTCTTGGTGGCACAGATTTCTGAAGAGATTATTATGTCTAACTAAGAAATGTCGCAGTGCTCTGTGTCTGCTTACTGTATTTGGTATGGACCCACAAGACAGGCAGTGGAGTTCTATTGTCTACATGAGTGTAAAGGTGTAAAGTGCCATTTTTCAGTAATAACTCCTGGTTAGCAAAAGGAGGTTGAGATCATACACCTGCTCCTGCATATGATCAATGAGAGGGGAAAGACTATAGTTGACTACTCCTTGTTCTGCCAGTGTAAATGGGAGAGGTCTTCTCCTCTGAAAAGCAACGTGAAATTTTGTCTTTGGCTACCAGTGGTGTAAAGGTCCTGTATTAAACAGAAAATGAGTATACCGAGAGGGGCAGGAGAATGGATGTTTTGCCATATAACCAAAGGCTGCCAGTGAAAGCATGGGAATATACATTGTTTGTCAAGTCACTGTGTCTCAGTTGAACAGCTTTAGCAACTGTAACCATGAGTTTACAGCATGCACTGTTCCTGGAGAGCTGTGCTCCCAAAGAAAGAGGCAGCCTGGCTATCAGTCGACCCAAGTTACTATCTCAGTTTGCAGTTTGCCTTAATTGTGTTTCTTGGAGTAATCTACCATTTGTTGAACCAAAATGGTATGCAACATCTGTGGCCTGATCTTCACAGATGCCCTCATTCTTGGCCAGATCTTTAATCATCTGTCAGCAAAATGTTGGAATATCTTGGGAGTTTCAACATAAAATTGCACTGTTGTTCACAACTTACTGAATTCAACAAAGGTGGTAATACAGCTATACTGCTATACAAATCAGGATTTCATATTTTCCTTAGGCACTATGGGGTGATAGTATTTTATACATGATGAGTAAAAATATTTTAAATTGCACTTTGAAAGGAAAAAGTGTGTACCACTCTCTGAAAGTATTTTTAGTCACTGTTTTTCTGAAAGCCTTTGGACATTCAGCCTAATGATTTGTTTTTTCCTGAACATATCTTTATTTATGCAGCAGAAGTATTCCTCTACTTCAAGGTAAATTCTGTACTGTTTCACACCCCATTCTTTACAGACCTTCATGAATCCATTGTCATTTATTTGACCTTTTAAATGTAGGAGCACATTTCCAATATACGGTATGCAAGAAATTTAATTTTGAATTTATATTCATAATAATTAATCTCTAATTTTATTATGTTTTGATAAATTGCATGACATTCACTCCGGTTTTTTGTCTTAGCAGCTATACGTTCTTTATAGTGAAAACTATTTTGTTGATGATATCATTTTTAGGATAGTGTTAGTTGAGAGAAGGTTATTTCATTCACGCTAAAGGACACAATTAAATTTAAAAGGTAGTTTATTAAAAAATATGTGTCATCTGTCCCCTTTGGCTGTCAGTTTTCGTAGAAACTTGAAAGGTACATTCACAGACTGGATAAAACATGGAAGCAGAAGAAGTGAAGTCTCAAAAAAATAACTCTTTTTCACTTTACTTTGGCAACTGTCAATGACAAGTATAAATTCACATTAATTAAAGCAAGTCACATCCTAAAATAATTTTTTTATTCTTTCAGACCACTCTTCCGTGGAAATTCAGATGTTGATCAGCTAGGAAAAATCTTTGAGTAAGTAATAACTAGTTGCATTATGTCAATATCTGTTTAACATTGAAAGCCTGTGAAATTTCTTTGCCATGTTCTTATGCAATAATGTGACTAAAACAAACTATTCCTAAAACATATTTCCTATTGCTGCCATATGCAACATGATATTTCCGTATATTCTGTATCAGAGTGGGAGGAGGAAGCAACATAGAATATAGTTATGCAAAACTAACAGCCATCATCAGGAAGTTATGCGACTTCTGTTTGGGGCTTTTTAAGTCTCTTAAACATATTGTGCATGTACCATTCATACATATTCCCAAACGTTTAAGTCCAGGAGATTTTCTTCATATAAACAAACATGGAGGTTTTATTTTTCAGTTATTTCTTTGTGCATTTCAGAATACAACCTTAAAACTTATTAACCTGAAATCTCTAAGATAATACCAACAGCATTTTTGCAGAAAAGACTTCTGTAAATAAAATACTATATTAGCTTTTAAAATCTGCTGTGTAGCCTGTTAACAGTCCATATCATGGTCAGGAAGGTAACTATGAGAACGGAAGGAATATCACCATTTTAACATATGCTTTGTCAGAGAGGAATTGGCTTTATTTTAAAACCATTTTACATTTCTAGGAGTTTGTGTTTCTCTTTTTCAGATATATCCAATACAATAAAGAAGTGGGTAGACTTTAAACTCTCTGAAGGAGAATAATTCTCTTCCAAAATTAAGTTCTTGGTATTGCCAATATGATTTAAGTAGGATTATATTACTTTTTTTGTAAAAGGTCTTCAGAGTAAGAAACATTTCTGTATTTTTAAGAGCCATGTAAATTTAAGATCTGATGTATGTAGCATGTAGTTAGGAAACCAAAGCCACGTAGGACTGATACCAATCCAGAGAATGAATGCCTGTTTGCCTCTGCACCTCTGTCTTCCTTTTCTGTATGGAAAAGGCTGCAGGGATCCAAGAATCTGAATGAAATAAGAAATAGATAGCACAAAATGAGAGTGTGAGAGAGAGAGTAAGAGAGAGAGTGAGTGAGAGAGAGAGAGAGAGAGAGAGAAGTATTATTCTGAAAGATTATTTTCTTGAAGATATTCCAAAGAGAAGATAGTAAAATTTCTAAGAAAAGCCTAAACGGAACAAATAATTAATTTCTCTGCCTAACCGTTTTTCCAGTTCTCAAATCATAACAGATCTGTTTCTAAGTACTTTTATTATTTAATATGGGGTTCCTAAATTGCAGGTCTTGATTTCACACAGTTGACTTCCCTTTCCTGCATACCATACCAGTGTATGTGACTCACTTGTGTGGTTAATTTGTCATGCGCTGAATAGCTCTTCCTGCCCAATCCAGAAAAATCAGTCCTTAAAGTTCACTTTTTCTTCTTCTGCCAAAGCTACTCCTTTAGTCCTACATTGTTCTGCTTTATTAAATGAAGACACCTTTGATACATACAACATATTTTATAATTAAAAAAAGACATAGCTGTGATTTTTTTGAAGGATTTTGATTAATTCATGACATTTAAGGGGAAATTGAAAATTAACTGGGCTAGGATTAAATACATAGCTGCTAATGGCAGCCTCCAACAGGCATCTTTCCATCCCTAGGGGCTGAGATTACCTGTGCAGAAAAGAATTCACCAAGAAAAGAAAATACCATGCTAAATTTAGAAGAAGTTCCTTCTTGCACATCTACTTAAAGCAAAAGTTTGGGTTTGCTTCTTTTGTGCAGTTCTTAAATAGTTCAGAAGTTTCTGTCTTGGATTCTGAGGGGTAATGCCAGATAGTGTTTATTTTGTGTTTCCACAGTTGGAGAACCCCCTACAGTTAGGCATAGCTCTTCTTGTAGGAGGGTTGTTCCTTTCTACAGTAGTGACTCATTCTGCAGATTAATTTGGACAGAAAGTAGTTTCGGGATTTTCCTGCAATCTGGACTGATGCATTCTTTCAGATAATGGGGCTGTGGTCTGCCTTAGCTTTGCATTTGCATTCTGATTTTTGTCAGGTAGAATTCCACTGAGTGTGAGAGTAAATCCCTCGCACATGGCCCAAAACATTTCCCTGCTTTTCCAGGACACTGTCAGCATGTGGCATATCCTCATAGATTTCAGGCTAAATGCTGCAATGGTTTGAACAGACTTGTCTCCTGTTGTGATCAATGGGAGTGGAAAGTACTCAGCATTTCTCAAGACCAAGCCTGAACCTTTGGCAATAGGTGAAACTCATCCAAGATACTCCAAACTTAGTCACTGAAATGGTAGTGCTACCAGACCAGAGTTAAAGCATCTGTTCAGACATTCATTATTAAGAGTTTTGAGTACTACGTGAGTGTGTAACTAAAGATGTCTCTCCTTTCAACTCTCCCTGTTTAACAGGTTGCCTCCTGGTTTCTTATCATTAGCTTTGCCTGTGCCCGTGCTTATGCTGCCCTGTTCATGCTCTGTCATGCGACTGTTAAAAGAAATGGGACTAACCAAACACATTTGAATTACAGGTTAAATCTCATTGTTATTTAAAATACTTAACTCCCCCATCATCCTAAGATGCTGTTTGTATTATATTTAATATGGGTCCAGATCCTCGAACAGCCAATCCTTTAATTACCATGGCCAAGGGGGTTGCCCCATGCCCACACCGTACCTGATGATAGAAGTCAAATTCAGTTTTTCACACAGATTTAACTTAGCATTTCCCAAAAGCTGTGATATGTTCAGATATAGTAAAATTTAATTGTCCTGAGATTGAAAGGGTAATTGCTTTGCCCTTCCAGCCATGCTGTTATTTTGAGGACATACTAATTTTCAGAGGTATTTTAGGTGAACCAGATCCATGTAGGTAGAGGTGGGGTAATTCCACTTGCTGAGGTAACCTATGATTTACTTCAGTGTGTTTGGCCCATGGCCTCACCCAGTCTAATGACAACCTCAGTAAGAAGGAAGGTCAATGCTGCTCCCTAGTGGCAATGGGCTTTGTGCAGACCCAAGTATTCAGTGACATTATTTTTGTGTCCTTTCTTGTCTTACCCTGTCAGCACTCCCATTAAAAATCTCGATTTTTACAGGCTATAAAAATGTATTTTTCCTGAAATCTGACAAGTAATATATGATCTTTTCCAGAATTTTCATCAGAAAACGTTGTTTCAATCCCACAGATACTAGCATGAGTCTAAAATATGAAATGTATGAGACATAATCCATTATTGGAGGTTTACCTACTATTGCATTTTTGGGGATTTTAGACCTCAACCTTATTATTTAATAATTAAAAATATCTTCTATAATTTAAAGAATAAGTACATTATTAAAAGAAATTAAAATATTTTATTAAAGAGAAAATTAAAATACAATTGAAAGCAAAAACACAAGGATGCTCAAGTGCCTTGCCGCTTCTAAATTGAGACTTTGAAAAATGTATTGTGAAGCAAATAGATTGTTTAAATTTGGGCAACAATTACTGCACATAGCTTTGAAGCATTATGAAACATCCCTTTTATTGCCTTACCCTCATCTTGACCCACACTCTTCTCTGAGTCCCTATTCTTGTGAATAAAGATCCTTGCATGCAATTCCCCTTTGAAATTTACTGCTTTTAATAATTCTGTGTTGCACATGGGACATATGTTGCACCATCCAGTCAAGAGCTGAGCAACTTTCTTCCAAAGCACTGAGCCTTTTTTTCAACAAAAAGACTCAGAAAATTGAGACCTAGGCCAGAAAATTGTGCTGGCGACAAAATGATTTCTGCCAAGCACACTGAGGACCTACACCCATCAGCTTCTATTCACAGAGATCGGTGCACTACTTTATAATTAAATATTTAAGCTCATTTAAACCAAAATATTCTAAAGTAAACTGCCACTCAATATAATCAATATAAAGGGGAAGCTGCTTAAATATTCAGACCTGACATAATGTTTTTTATTTCACAGTGTAATTGGACTCCCAGAAGAAGAGGACTGGCCCAATGATGTTGCCCTTCCAAGAAATGCTTTTACTTCCAGACCTGCACAACCTATTGAAAAATTTGTACCAGATATTGATGAACTAGGCAAAGACTTGCTTCTTGTGAGTTCCTGTTTGTTGTTCCCCAAGTCGTGTGACTGATAGTTGCCACTGTGCATGCAACATGCCAAGAAACACTTAAGTGTCCATTTAATGGAGTTATTAAAGGAAAGTTCAAAAGTAGATAGACAAATTCATGTAAATGTTTGAAAAAACAGCAAAAGACGCTGCCTTTGGCTCACGAGGCGTCAGAGCTGAGAATAGTTAGAGATTAGGAAACTGAGTCAGGGAAGTACCTGTTTGATCTGTCTTTAGATCTTATCATTAGTTCCTCACCACTGCAGTGCCACTTATTCAGACATTCTAATTGTATAGGCCTGAAGTGAGTATAAAAATAGATCTACCATTTTTGGTGGTATACTGGATCCAGAATAAAGCAGGAAATAGGCATGCCTTCCATTGAGTGCTGAAAACTTGAGACTTGGAATTCATCAGTTGTTGCCTCTTACAAATGGCAAGACTGAACAGAAGCAATCAAACTGGGCTGGTACAGCTATTCCTATCATTTGTATAGATACGTTAGAAACCCCAGTCCTTGAGTTCAGTCTTCAGGTGGAATATAGGGAGTAACCTTGCCTCAGTTTGCCTCTTACTGCGCTTGTTGAAATCGAGTTAAATTTGTTCTCTAGAAGTCTTTAAAAGATCTTGATTCATATGGGCTAGGTAGACTGGGCTCAGTGCAATTCTTCAAAGACTTGGTGCATCCCTTTAGGAACGGCTGTCTGTGGCCAATGTTATCTCAACAGCAAATCGTCCTCCATTGTCCTTATGACTGCAGCTCCCAGCTGCGGAAAGCTGAACTGCATCTAGACACTTGAAATAACAAGGGAGAAACACATCTGCTGTGCTTGCAGACAGCCTGCAAATGGAAGCTAGACATGGGACAAGAATTAGATTCTGGGAGCAACAGGGTATAATATATGGCAGAGAGCTCAGTGAATGTGAGGCATGATGGGAGGGAAGGAAGAAGAAGACAAATATCTATGCCTTGAAGGTGAGGTGGGAAGGGAATCTGTTCATGTTAGGCAAAGAGATGATAACTGGGAGCCACAGATAAAAGGGGAGAGTAGGATTGAAAATCACTGAATTATATTTCAGAAGTTAAATGATAGAAGTTATGGTACAAGAAAAGAAAGTAGGAGTAGGAAGTGGTTAGACAAGTAGGAAGAATAGTATTTGGAGGTGAATGAAGGAAGAGTGAAGAACAAGGTATAAAACACAGGGCTGCAAGAGAGATTTCAGCGCTAGCTGGACAAAGGCTGGGATACAGATCTGGGAAGAAGACCATCAAAGTGCAGCTAGAAAGAAAAGAGAGAAACTGAACACAGAACACTGGCATGTCCTGTGCATGTGAATTCAAGAAAACCTACATTCTGGGATTTCCTAAACTATGAACACTTGAATTTCCTAGCATGTAATTTTCTTCTAGTTTAGGGGATGCCATGTTCTTATACTGTGACCCCACTGTTTTAATATGATGGTCATCATGCACCAGCTACAGAGACCCTGTTGTGTCTCATACTGATCATAAACTGAAGGTGCTATGCATAATGTATGTATGCAATGATAGCACTGTTAACTGTACATTTTAGTTAAAACCAACTTCTTTTCATACTTTCAGAAATGCTTAGCATTCAATCCAGCCAAGAGAATATCTGCCTGTGTTGCCCTCTCTCACCCGTATTTCCATGATCTGGAGAAATTCAAGGAGAATCTGGACTGTCACATGTCATCCAGCCAAAATTCCAGTGAGGTGAATGCATCATAAGTGCTGACTGAAGATGAACCATAAATGAACAAGACATGTAGCTGACAAGGCCACTGTCCCGTACAAACCACATAGCTGTTCTAGTGAAGATCATTATTTGGAGGTTTTATGCACTTATCTTTTATTTTGGGATTGTGATGTGCTTATCCATGGAAATCAATCTAGTTTACCTTTATCAGAGCAATGCAAGGGCCAGGGCTTTGGCCTGCTCCCATTGTAGCTTTATGTTTGTTTTGTTTTTGTCTTGTTTATCTACCTGGGAAAACTCCAGACGAAGAGAAGCTGCTGACTGGTTTTGCCGCCGTTTTATTCTTCTAATATTGAATGCTGCCAGTGTGGAGTTTGATGATCAAGTCACTGCCAAAACATGATGCAATCTCTCTCTCTCTCTCTAGCTGCTGAAGCATGATGTGGTACTTTTTTATTATTATTTTTGATCTCTTACAGTGATACAGAATGGCATTGAAATATCAGATCTTTGCAACCTGCAGTTAACTGATACACGTGTTAATACATCCAGCTACTGTTCATTCATAGCATATATGCAGGTGCTTCCCCACTTGAAAACTTGGATGAATTATTTTATTGTGTCATTGCTCTATGAATATAACAGTGATGATGGCGATCATAAAAAATGTACCAACTTTTAGGTTTTTTCATGCACAAGCAAGTTATTGTCTAGCTGCGTTTGTGTGCACATTTCAAAAAACTGTTTTGTTCTTAAAAACTCCTTCAGTTTCCAAATGGCTAGTTTGTGTTGAAATGCAGGCACATTCTAGCCCATCATTTTCCCCTGGAAACAGCTGCAAGTATATTTTCCTTCTCTCATTCGAAATTTTTTGATATGCAGCTCAAAGACATGAGCAGAGCCAATGAAAATCAATACAGATTTTCACCTTCAACCTGTTCTGATTAGTAGCCAAAAAGGAAAAAAGAAAAAATATTTCTGGTTCAGAAGCAGAGAATCCTATACCTGTAATAAGCACAGATAAGTATTTGTGCTGCTGTATGCTGTATACTGCGCTGCCTTACCTGCAACACCCTCCCATGCATCACAAGTGCATAACATTACTGTCTCAAAATCCCTCAGATGTCACTTATTAAACAGACTTGTTTTCTATGCAGAAATGTATGACCTTCTCTCCTAAACCACCATGTGGGTATACTGGCACATGCCTCTCCACTAGGGTTAATGTGCTATTATTGAATGTCAGAATAACTAAGCAATTCACATCTTTATAGCAGTTATTTTAAATATTACATGAGAATTTTATATTTAGTATTTTTACCTTAACTAAAATATATTTTCAGTATTCTGAAAGGAAACTTTTATTTTTTTAATACTGTACTGGGGAAAATTAAATATTTTAAATCCATTAAAGCTGTTCCCTAGCACTAATTTAGTGCATTTACCTGGATATGACTTGGGGGAAAATATTGGTCCAACAAGTATAACTGATGCTAAGTGAGGCAGCCAGCTTTGCTTACTCCTGTGACAGTCCCTTAGGCTTCAGTCTTCCTCATTTCTATTTGATCTTGTCTAGGTAGTGAACCAGCATAATATCCTCATCGACAGCATGCTTGGCAGAAGCAGGTCCTTAGCAGTGAGTTGAGCAATATAATTTTTCTAGTTGCGACAGAGGAACTTGTAGCCCTCTCCCTGGCAAATCTCTCTTGTGATAGACTGACTGATGTGGCAAACTTTGCTGTTAACTCTGTTTCAGGTATCTGCACTGTCTGGGACATGGTCCACTACCAGGATCGTGAGTGGATCTTACCTGTCTCTTGGATAAAGTTTTTTGTTACTGTTAGACACATAAGTATGTGATATGGGGTTAAATTAGGTCTGCTTTAGAGAAGACAGATTTTAAAAGGACCACTTGCGTACTTGCATGCAGTGGCCTGTGCTTTTCTTCATGCCCAGAATGAGCCTATGCAAAACTTACCAGCATGAACAGGCAAGTTGCAAATTAACCTGGCAAGAGCATGCACAAGGCATCTGCACACAGAGATAGCACAGATGCATAACACAAGAATTTTGGAAGCTCTGTGAGCAGCCAGTTGAAAGCCAAGGAGTGGTCACAGCAGCTAACCCTCTAATGCTGGCCTTCCCTTTGTCATTCTCTCTGTTTCTACGTCCAAGGGTAACTGTGAACCCACTGTACTGGTGTTCTCCCAACTCCATTCCTCCATGGGTCAATGGACCCCAGCGTGACTAATTTTTAGCATTCAAAGAAAAGGATGTGCCAGAATGAAATTTTTGCTAACAATTTTTAAACACTAATTAGAACAACAAACAGAGACAAAATTCAGGAGACTCTTGCAACAGTAGCAAATAGAAAAGTTTTCTACAGAGTTTAGCACTTTCAAAAACATTCCACATTTTACCTTGTGCTGAGCTGTCTATCATACATACCTTATCAGGGCATTCAGCTGGTGTGGCTTCCCAGCAACTGTTCAGGGAACTCTCCCCAGAGCTCTCCACCAACTAATATAGGGTGAAAATGTAGGGGAGAAGACAATATTTTCAAATTAGGTTTAAAACTCTCAGATAGAAATGTACGTCTGTTCCACGTAGGAAGAACTTGTTGTATTAAGCTTAGCAAAGCAAAGGGTAGAAGAGAATATGATTGCTGAATGTAGGTACATTATTAGGGTAAAAAAAAGGAGAGGAGAGAACACTTTAAGCCAAAGGTTAGTGTTGGCCCAAAAACTAATGAAAATGTGGAAATCACAAGGAAGTTAACTACTGGAGGAGTATTCCCAAGCAGTAGTATCAGACAGCTCAGAGAGCAGCAGAGAAAAATGGAGGTTGGTTTATGGAATCAAAAGTAGAGCTTCTGCAACATGGTGCTGTATGTTGTCTAATGTAGTAGGATCAGGTTATAAATGAGGCATTCAGGAGAACAGCTTGCAAAGGGCTGCATTAATGGTCACATTCTGGAACATCCTTCCAGTGGGAATGGAAGGAACATAAACAAGAAATCTAAGTTCTGTCTTGGCAGGGTTAGGGAAAATATTTCTCTAATAGGGTCCTTATGGTAGCAAGGGCCTAGATTCAAAGGACCAATAATTTTTCAAATTACCTCCTTTTCCAAATCTCTAGGAAGAAATTCCATTTGACATGCCATAGGCTTACTCTTATTCCAGTCTTCCCTGCCAAACTGTGAGGCTTCACTTACACTAGTAAAATGAGAAAGCCTGTTCTCTGGCTGGGCAAAGCACTGTCATTGGCTAAAATCATGCCAGGAGTCGTGTTTGTAATTAGGCAGCACAGACAACCGTGGGACTGTGCTCAAACCCATGCCCTTGCTCTTCTTATTTTACACTGGTATATCTCTAGTATTTTAGTACCTTTACTCATTACTGCTATTATGTGTAGGATGTAGGAATTGTGTATGTGGAAAAAGAAAGCGCTGTGATGAAAACTCTTTGTACACTCTTTAAATAAGATTTCAGAGTGCAGTTCTTCTTAGTGATAGCTAAGCCTGTATGTGTTCTACAGGAGTGGTTCAACAGTAGCTAAAAAATAGTGAATAACAAAAGATATATTAAATATAGCTCCTTGAGCACCCACAAGCAGACACTGTGCTCTTCTCAGCAGAGAACAGGGTGTTCTAAGTAAGGAAGGAGCAATTTCTATCTCCCACCAACCTTTTTTTTTTTTAATCACTACTACATAATTCTGCAGAAAAAAATCAACCAAATAGCCAAGGGAAAAAAAAAATCATCAAAGCCAGCTAGTTAAGTGCTAATTGCTGCACCATAGAAATCCATATGGAGCAGCCCTTTTCTCTCTTCACCCTGTCCACACAGCCTTCCAGTTCTTTTTCTTCAACTTCCTTATGGAAACAGGTTTCAGTTATGCTCACAAGTGCTATTTCCAACAAAGTTCTTCCAAATTTTCAATAGCTGCGCAGTGTCAGTGTCCCCTATGTCATCCCTATTATCAAGTGTTGCCTCTTTTAGTCCCACAGCCTAGAACCAGTGATTAGAAAAGAATCTCTTTGTGCACCTCCTTGCTTAGCCTTAGTTTTGCATACACCTGTGTTGCCTTCTGTGTGCCTAGTAAAAAAATTCTAAAAATAGGGTTTGTGCATATTTCTGTGTAGGCTGTGTCCACACTCCAGGTTTTTTTCAGCCTATTAGTCCACATTGGTAAATGTTTGAGTGTCTTTTCCTGTTGTTTCTGTCCTAAAACACAAAAAAATGAGGATGTCATGTTTGCAAAGTAATTGTTGGTTGTTTTGATGAATAAGAAGAAAATATTGTGCCATGCTACTTTTCACAGGTTCACTCACTGTCTTTTGAGAAGTGTGTTTTATTATACATGTTATTCTCTCTGCTGTTAGGTATTAGACCAACTTTAATATGGAAAATAAAGATAAAACGTTTGATTCTGGATGATTGTGGTAGAGCAGATTTTTTTGTTTCCAAAAAAGATCAGACTAAAGATACTGCCTTCTGTAAAAACCCAAGCAAACAAACAAAACCAGAAACAAAAACACAAACAGTTGACACTTAGTAAAGATTAAAAAGGAGATTTTAAGGAACTATTGGGAAAATATTGTCAGGACAAATGAAAAGGAGCATATTTTTAACGTGAAAAATGTAAATGCAAACAATGTGTATTAAATATGCATTGAAATTGATAGTTTTTCACTGACCTTGCAAAGTTGATAGGGTTTTATGGAAAAAAAGCATCCAAATACAAACTTATTCTAGCTACCACTTAAATCTTCATTTGCACTAAAGCAACCTATAGTGTTTTACTAAAAGGAGACATGTCATGTTAAACTTGTGATTTATTTTGGTGATGTCTCCATGAATATGTTGTAAAGCTCTCAAGCTCACCGTCCATTTTTGAGCAAGTCAAATTTGCATTCACACTGTTAGCTTTCTGCACCTTAAGCCCATCCACATGCCAGAAAAGAACACATTTTCTATTGTTTACATGGATATTCAATCCCAGTGACATGTTCATGTTAAATCCAGCCAAAGACCAGTCTCTGCCACTGAGTGGAAAATGAATTTTCACAGACTGAAAATTTTCACAGCTTCCCTTGTACAATTACTCCTTAAAAGTTTGTCATGAATATTGAGCAATATGAAGCCCTTCCTCTTATTCACACATACGTCATGTTATGTGAATTCTCAGCCTTTTTTAAAAGAAAAGAACACCCAGTTCTTGAATGTTAGGATTAATTTGAGTGGCTAGATGAGGGGGAAAATTATGCGATGCAAAGGTAGGAAAAATGGACAAGAGAGTAGGACCGTTGGCAAGTGAATTTGACTATATGGAAAGGTTGCATATAAAAGTAGGAGGAAGACTTTTCCCACGTTTTGTTTCTCATGTCATTTACTTTCATAAACATAAGATGATAAAGCAAGACTCCTGAGCAGGATTTTAGTGCCAGATACTTATTATGCCAACTCAAGTTATGATTTCCAGTGCAATTTTTCAACACAGCACCAGCTCTGTTTTTTAAATCAGATTTTGTAGAAGCAAGAGCTTTTTCTGGGTAGATACAAAAAAAAAAATCTTATGAGACATCTTGAGAGCAGATTAAGCTGGCCACAGAGACAGTGCCTGTAGTTCAGCTGCAGAAATGGAGAACGTACAGCTCTACTGCAGGAGAGCCGCTAACAGTCTATTAATGTGCAATGGTGTGCACTACCAGCTGACTCCTGCTGCAAACTGCAGCCCAGTTTTGGCAATCCAAAATAGCATGGGTTTGCACACTTGGATTTTGATAAGATTATCTGCATGCAAGTTTTGCTGGATCAGTCCGGGTGGTTCACCAATCTTACAGGAGCAGGTCTGAGAGCAGAGCAGGTCTGTCCGACGCCCAGTGCAAGTAACAATGCAAAGTCATCTGCTGTGGGAAAAGAAAAGTTTTTGTAGGTTGTACAGTAGGAATGGAGCTTTCTGAGCTGCTGTGCCAATCTGAGAGCTAGTGTTAACTATTGTTATGCAACGTCCAAAAACACAGAATGTGAGACACATAGCATTTTGTTATGTTCTGTGTGCGTGGGTGGCAGGGTAGGTGTTGGCACAGAGTGGCTCATTTTGGTCCTTCCATTAAGCGTGAGCAACTAGGCTTGGCACAGAGACAAATTTCAGTTACAGGGATGGGAAACCTCTAATTCTACACAGTAGTTCTCTGGCATTTGTTAAATACATATAGGGACAGATCACCCAACCACTCAAGCTGTCCTTTCCTTATCCCTGATCATCCTTCTTTGACTGTGAAAGAAACCATGGGGAGTCTGTTCCTCAACAGTCTTCCAGCATGCTGCTTCCTCTCACTGCAGCAATAGTTGCCTATCACTTTTATCTGACCCCGCTCGTAGTTCCGCTGCCACTGAAGAAGCTGTGAGCTAAATTACTGCTTTGCAATTCTGCAGCCCCCCAGTCTGCAGGCAGCCAGTGATTTGTACTCCGGTTTTAACTTGCTCCTAATTAGGAAGTGGGAAATAGTACAGTTGAGTATGGCAAAGTGTGTGCTACTTTTCAGTTCAAGCAAAGCAATGAGTTAGAATAGATTAGATTGACCATGAAGTATTTGGTCAGCCAAAACAATTTTTAATTTAGAAGATCATTCACTAAGTACGGAAAATCCCTGAAAAACTGTCTGTGATGCACACATTTACAAGAACACCCAATGATGCTTCTGTTATATAGAAGTTTTTAAATGGATGCAATGCCAGCCTCCTACTTCTTCCTCTCCCCTTCCCAAGACCACTATTCCCAGGGAGAGGTTTCCTCCCAGCATGAGGCAAAGCAACTATGAAGCAGTCCCCAGCTCTCAAGATAACTTATGTTCAGGTAGGCAGTCAAGCTCATTCCTTTTCTTTTGGCTATGGCAGTTTAGATTAAAGACCCCTGCCACAAGTACTAGGGACAAACAGACCTTAACCCCCAAAATATTCTCCTTAGGAAAGTCTTCCCAGGATCTAGAGGGGACAGTATACTTACTATTTCTGTGACAGTTGACTTTTTTTCTCTTTTTAAACAGCAGTGTTGTAAGAACTTCCCTAAGAAAACTCCCACTACAGAAAAAAAGATAATTTTGATTTCTCGACATTCTGTGGGAAAAGAAAATGTTGTATTCCAGGGAGATGATACATCTCAAACAATCATCCTTCATCTGTGATAGAAAAAAACCCAACAAACCAGGTTCAAAATGTAGCCTGGGTTTGCAGAGTGCTAGTTAAATAAGAAGTGCTTCTCAAATGTTTTTCCAGCAAGACCCAAAACCCATCATGATTTCTTGCAGGGACTTTTATCTTGGAGTCCCTTTTAAGAAGGGGGGATGTGGCCATGGGTTGCAATTAAAATGTACATGAAAAATTGGATGCTGGCTAGAAGTTTGTGGATGTGAGGCTGTACAAGGTAGCTTATGTAAGCTCAGTGGGAATGTGCTTGTATGAAAGTTTTGGTTGCCATGCACATTTTGAACTGAAGTTATCTATCATAACATGATAGAAGAACTGCAGCATCATAAGAGGCTTTTTCTCCCTAGATGTCTAGCAACCCAATGGTTTTCCAGCTTTGCTTTATTTTGATTTATTTCGCCTCCACCACTGCCATTGTCCTTTCTATTGTGCATAAGTTTAATAGAAGTTCATTACCCTATAGTTTACCAGCTCAAAAAGAGAGCAGGACAGCACTGTCTAAAAAATTTGATCATTCTCTAGTGGTCAGTGTTAAGGGAATCACATAATCATAGAATGTGCTGAGTTGGAAGGGATCCATCACAATCATTGAGTCCAACTCCTGGTCCTGCACAGGACACCCCAGGAATCTCACCATGTGCCTGAGAGCGTTGTCCAAACACATTTTGAACTCTGTCAGACTTGGTGCTGTGACCACTCCCCTGAGAAACCCACTCCAGTTCTCAACCATGCTCTTTGTGAAAAACATTTTCCTGGTATCTACCTAAACCTTCCCTGAGTCACCTTCATGCCATTTCCTCAAGTCCTGTCACTGGTCATGAGAGTGAAGTTGTCTTGTTTAAATTCTAACAAATAGAATTCAATATCCATGACACCTGCCTTGCATTCAGCACTGTTAAACCATCTCACTGTCATTCTCCACGTTGTTCAAAATCACTTTGCCTGGAGATTGAACATCCCTCCTACAACCCACTTGGAGTCACAGCAATGTGAGCAAAAGAAGTTTACATTATGACGGTGCTTTTTGGTAAGGAATGAGAGCCAGATCCTATTGAAACAGGGACTGAAAGAGTCTTGAGGTCTCTTAGCCAGGCACCTTTCACAAGCAAGGCAGTCACTTCTGTTAAGGCAAGAAACACATTTTAAAATACTTAAGACAGGGAAAATATAGAGGTGCCATTTATTTTTCCAGTAGGACCTGTTTTCTCCACAAAGCTATATGATTTTGGCACTGAAACTAAGTCCACAGATGAACATTCATTCTCTCCTTGTAGTCTTTACTTTCCATGTAAATTCTTAACAAGCATTCAGATTAATGTATTTATGGTCCGTTTCATTCCAGTTCATTTAAGTGGTCTGTATCCACCTTTGAATCTCATATGGGTTTTATTGTTAATGTAATATTTTGCTGCATTACTTTGAACAGCTTTAAAAGTATAATGTCTTCAAATGCTCTAGTTAAAGAAAAATTATACCCTCAAAATAATGTCTTAGAAGTTGGAACTGTATACTTTGGAAACAATGTTTATATTATGACTCGCAAAGGTATCACAGGGTGCTTTTGTGGGTATGTCTGTCTTTTACTTTCTGTGTAACAGTGTGTATTTGTACTTCCTCAATAGCTTGATACTCTTCTGTCTGAAGGCTTAAGTCTGCAAACACATGAGTACTATACCTCACCTGAGCAGTCCCACAGAGTAGAGGGGGTTTACTCATATGAGTATAGTTGCTCACAAAAAGTATTTGCAGAAAAAGGCTTTACTTTAGTAACTGACTGTAGTTGTGAGGACACATGGTTAGTAACAGCACCAAGACACGAGTAAACGGGGTCAGTTTTTATTGAAGATGTGGACACATTTATCTTCAAGTTATTTGACATTAATCTAAATTATTGCTATTATAATTCAGTATATTATTTCTTATGAAAACACATTAGTCCTGCGAAAGGGTAGTTGCAAAAAAAGTATTGAGTCTTGCTGCTTTATTTGCATTTAGTATACAGTTTTGGTTTTTGAAGGGAAGCTAGCTTCTTAGAGAGACAGAAAGATAGATCAGTCAGAAAAAAATTATACATAAGCTTCATACTGTACATTGAGTTTTGCAACTAAAGTAGTATGTGTGTTCAGATTTAATATTTTTTATGCTTTAGAGCATCTTTGTCTTAATATGTAAAGGAATAAGCAGATTACTTCAAAATGCTATTGTAGAGCTAATTTTACAGATAGCGGGAGAATGTTGTCTGAAAAATTAAAATTAGAGAACATTACATAGACTGCCTTTGGCTTTAGTTTGTTTGTAGCAGGTCCAGCAGGTATCTGTCGATTCCAGATGCTTTAGGCCAGGGGCTGTGTTTGTGCAGCATCTTGTAACTGAATAAAGTTTTTTGCAGTGATAAAATTGCCCACCTGAGCTTGAAGTAAGATTGCTGCCTAAACAAAAGCATAAAGGCAGCAAATTTGGGGGGGCGGGGGGGACAGGGGTTGTGCATGGACAATTGCATGAAATAGAATGGGGGTTTCAAAGTATTTTAAATCATTTAGGATGATTTACTTTTTTTGTAACTCCACTGAATACAGTTAAATTAAACCAAGAGTTTGGCCTTGTAAGTCTACAAATTTCAGTGTCAGGCAGCTCAGGTCTATAGAAGGATACTTAAGTTTAGTAAATCAGCAAGAATACTATATAAAGGTAATGTGTGATAAAAATCTTAACTCTAGTAACATTACTTCTCTCAAAATTTTTTTTCATTCCTTTTTTAATACAAAAGTTTAGAAATGCATTTCTTAGTGGCATTTGGATATGTGGAGAAAAGCAGGATGCTGGTACATAAATGTGTTAGAAATAAGATTCAGTTCTTACTGCTCCATGTGTGCCTACCTTACACATTACAAATCCCACTGAAAAAAAGACTTGTATAAAGTTAAGCCTGTTTTGTAACTCTCATAGGATACTGGTTTCAGAATCTGTAAGATAAGTTATGTTCTCAAAAGACATTATTAAAACTTGTGGTTTCAGGTTTACAGAATACTGTGAACAGCGACAGCTTCTGAGACACATCCAGAGTAATTTTATTAATCGATATTACACCAGACCAATATCTGTTAGCAAATTAAAATCTCTCTCGGTACCTGCATTTGTCAGTATAATTTTACAAAAAAACCCCAAAAACCCAAAACACAAACATGAAATACATTCAAAAAATTAAAACAGCCTCTAATGCTGTTTGACTTCTTTTTTTTTCTCTTTTTTCCACCTTTTTTATCATAAAATATCATTTGCTCTGGAGGTGTCTAGGATTTGATAATTCAAGGAAAACATGCAAAGCAGTTTGGAATACTCTTCTTCATTCACCTTAGGGCATATACTCAGCTGGTGAAAATCAGCATAGTCCTGTTGACTTCTACAGCATTGTATCGGTTTATACTAGTGTGACAGTTGGCATGTTGGGTTTTAGCATTTCAAGTCACTTTACCTACATATGCAGTAGGATTCTCTTCTGCAAGATGGAAAGTTACCTACGGTGCAAACTGTACTACCTAAACTACCGTCGATACCTATTCACAGGACATGATTTCACTGTATCACTTCATACTTGAAATTCATATTGTTCTTTTAATCAGGGTACAAACATGAAAAGGTGCGTGTGTTACTGTTTCTTTTAAAGGTGCATCATTGAGGGTTTTATTCTATGCTTAATAGTTACTAGTCAGTGTTCTTTACATTCTTTGCATTCAGCATTAGAATTGCCTATGTGTGAAATACAATATCACCTGCAGAGGCACAGAAAATGTAAAAGCGATTTCTTGAATTGTTACTCAAATATACTGGGTTACCTTTTAGTCATCAATATGACATCAAGGGGCTACCACGTGAACTGTGGTATAAGTCTTGGACCATTACTGTACAGGAGATCCTGCAGCTTCTCTCCTCTTCTTGCACAGCTGCTGATTACCATATACACATTAGCAAAAAGTATGTTTCTGCTGTACAGAATGGCTGGGAAGTAACACAGACACTTGGGAAACTCTAGAGCTCCCTTTGCAAGCTTTCGAACAAAGCCCTTTGATCTATCTGCATGCCTGCTCTGTGTCCCAGATTTCACCCTATGGGGCTTTCTGCTTCAAGAACACCCTCAGCTGGGGATACTTTACATTGACTGCATTGAAGTTCATTGGAGCATGCACCTTACTGTATAACATATTCTTTAGCTTTTACAAGTTTGTAAAGATGGTTGACTGCAAAACTAATCATGTGTCAATACAGCAGAATTAAATTAAGGCACACAGAAAGTTATCAATAATGTATTAAATCAGAATTACAGTCCTTTGGAACTGAATGTTTTGCTGCTGGCAGTGCAAGAAAAGCAAAGTTGTGTATTTATTGTTGGGTGCTGAGGCTTCAGTATGGAAATCAATATAATAAAATTTTTCACAGTGTTGAGTTCTCTTTAGTTGTTCCCAAATTATTGAAAAGTAAAACCACAAAAAATTAGTTTTGTATTTAAAACTGCTTCACCCTTCTAGCTATATTTTTCTGTTGTCTAAAAATGTAAAATGAATACAAATGCAGTAAGTATTGTATATTAAATACAGAAAATTAGCAGCGTTGATTTTGTAGTTTGTATGTTTGCAAGTGTTTTTCTCAACACCATGTGTATTCTAGAAAATCAACAAACAACAAGACACAGAAACATAAGCACATGCACACCTTTTCTAGCACTTACCATATAAATTTCATTTTATAAAAATCTAACCTCATTTGTCCCGATTTCTCATTTCCGAGCTACTTTATTGCTTACCTAGGATGAATTCCATTAAAAAAAATAAAAATATGAGATCACTTTTTCTTTCAAAGGCAAAGCATTGCTGCAATTGCTGGGAATCTGTGATTCGGCACTAATCTGTCTTTACTGAAATCTTTGTTTTAGTCTAGGCAAATTGTGCTGTTATACAGCCATAATGGCTCTCAGTTGTCCATGGAATGCAATATTTTTCCCAAAGGTTACTTGATCCACCATTGCACTAACATGCATGGTATTTGTGTATTCCTAAAGATTCTGCTGTTTTCATCTTTTGAGGAGCCGAGCACACTTTAGTGATTGACTGTTTTTTCTTGATTGGCTGTAAATTCAACTAGTAATATTTCTGGGTGTATAGAAATGGTAAAAATGTGGGGTTTGAGTCAAACACAAAATGACACATCAGACTCTAAAATCAGCTGCATGTTTTTTGACTTCAACCAAAAAATGCTCATCAAAACAAATAAAGCTTCAGCTTATTATAAAGATCATTAAGTGCTCTTTAGAGCAGGATAGAAGTAGCTTCTACTAATAAGGCCTCCAGTGAGCCACCAGATGTAGGAATCTAAAATGTATTAGCTCAAGCATCCGAAGGGGTGTCAGCTCCTGGATGAAAGCTGACAGAAATGACTGGAAAGCTAGCCAGACCCTAAAGCCTCAAAGGATTTTATAGCTTAGAACCAAAACTTTGTGCTGCCCTTAGAAAGTAGAAGGAACCACAGAAGTCTTTCACTTAGTTATAAGCTATGGTTATAAGCTGCAGATGCAACACAGCCTTAAATAAAAACAGCCACCTTTACATTACATGACATTCCAAATTAGTCTTTAAACACATTATAAGGTTATAAGCAGCAGTCCAGCCAGGGACAGACACAAAGTGAACTGCAGTCAGTGTCACAAATACCCATGTTAGCCATAGCTAGTGGATTGTGAAAAAGGGAAAAATCATGGAAATATTTAACATTACATAAGAAATACTACAGAGATCTTTATACTTTCTGGTGTTCTATCTCTGTTAGTGCTCAGAGCAAGACACCATAGAAGAAAATTCTACTGTCTGTTGACAATTACAATACAAATTCTTCATTTGAGAATTTTTTTCCTAGCCCTCATCTGTGAGAAGGTGAGCTCATAAAACCTAATTATGGAAAAGAAAATAGTATTAAAAAAATATCCCATTAAGCAAAATACTAAGGACCTTGTAGGAAAAAAAGCACAAATGTTACTCTTCCCGTTATTCACATAAGTGTTCTCATCCTCTTTGCCTCAAAATTGTCTGATGGCACTAGGTGTCACATGTCAGCACCATAGAAACAAATGTTCCTTTAAAAAGAATTTTAAATGCATTGTCTTTGTCTGTCATTCACCTGCCATTTACTGATAAATGGAAAGCAAGATAGCACAGTATCTTATCACTCCTCATTTTGTACCGATCAGTTATGTTGCTCCCCCCACCCACTCCTTTGATAAACAAGGTCATCTCTCAGTCTCCTTTCACACAGAAGTCCTTTCCCCAAGTATTTTCATCCATTTTTAGAAATCTGATTTGTCTGGCTGGACTCCTAAGCCTTCTTCGCAGCCAGGGAAGAAAAGTTAATTGGGGTCTAATTAAAACACTGTGAAGTGCCTAGCAGAGGACTCCCTTCTGCCCAGTGCCTGCACAGGGAGGGACTCCAATGCCCTTGCCTTCCTGCGATGGCAAGTCTCACTGTTTCCAGGTACCAGGCTCAAAGTCCCATGGTGCAAACCATGGGATGAATAAACTCTCTTAGGTTCGAATTTGGTCAAAACATTTCTGAAGAGTAATTCTGTTCTGGAAGACTTGATGCAGCTTAGGTGTTACCTACTCTGCTGCAGCTGACCTGAAGCCCACGAAGACCAGCAGCCTGGCCACCGTGCCAGCACAGGGACACACAGACAGCCATGCTCTCACACCTGGGGCCACCCTTGTGCTGCCTAGGGCTGTAGTGGTGCTGGGCACAGCCTGCAGGGGTGCAGTGCCGTGGTGCAGCCACCTGCAGGCGCCACATTGCACGGGGGTACTCTAAAATGGCCCAGATCTGAAGATGCATTCAAGACGAGGACTTCACCGTGCTTCACAAAAGGGGTATCGTAATATATTCAGTGATACTTCCAACTTCATTTTGCATGTATTTTAATGCAGTTTCTTTTGTCTTCACTGTCCTTCTCGAGTATTGCAAGCAGCTCAGGGAGAACTGCCCGATGTGTTTCCAAAGTAGCCATCCTTGTTTTAAAACATATCAGCTATTTTCTGAGGAATAAACATTATCCCTTCCGTTATGCACTATCTTGCAATTTTGAACACTAAATTTAGTTTGCAACTGAACAAATTTTACTTGTAAATCTGGTGTAGTCACTTTCTTAGTTTCCTTCTGGTTCCTCACAGCCTGCTCTTGGTTTTATTAAGCAATTTGGTATCATAAATTCCCATTGGCTCACCAGTTGTTCCAGCTATTCCCAAATATGATGAAGACAGAAAACTATTTCAGAAACAAAACTCATTTGTGCTTTGTATGATTAGCATATTAACATAATTACTTTTTGTCATTTTTACAAAGCAGTGACTAACATGCAGTAATTTTTAATGGTAACACTTTAAGAAAAGGACATTTAAAATTCATGTTAGTAGATCCCGGTGATTCATGGGCTTCTCTTAGCACTTCCAATACCTTAATGTAATATTAAACCTGCCAATATTACAATGTCCTTTATTTTGCAGTGCAGATGGCTACCGAGGGATGAGTACACAGTTTTGGTTTTGTTTTGTTTTTCTTTTTTCCTCAAATAGAGCCCCGTTTCACTGAATTTTATGTCGGTACAGGCTGCTATTTCATAATACTTTAGTCTATGCATCTACCCAAGGAAAAAGTAACACCGCGTTTCCATCTGTAACTGGCCACTAGATGGATCAAGAGACAAAGCCCTCGCCATGAAATTCTGCCCTCTCCCGGGATGCACGTTTACATTTCATCCAGGCTCCCCTCAGAGCCACCCCCATCTCCGCCTCACAAAGGCTGTCCCGGCGCTCGCCCCGCCGGCGGCTCCTCAGTACAAGACAGACATGGAGCTCCTGGAGTGGGTCCAGCGGAGGGCAACGAGGATGATTGCGGGGCTGGAGATCTCTCTTTCGAGGAAAAGCTGAGGGA